CGCAATGTTTGTTAGTTGGCACACAAGGGAAAAGAGGATAGGACGTCATAAATTTGGTATTATGGATAGACGCACAATAGATCCAGCAGAGACTAGAGCTAGTTGGCTAACCGTAGACGTGTGTGCTCATGGATGTAGCCCGTGAAACAAAGGCTTGACCATGAGTATTACCCTGTGCACTTATAAAATGGTGATAAGGGCATATATAGCATCAAGTTAGTCTTCCATCCAGTTTGAGAATTCAGACTTTTTCGGCTTTCTTTGCGAGACAGTAGTATACGTGCCATGAAAGGCTTGAAGCAGAGCGCGGGAAATAACGCCTTGAGTAGCAAAGATAATGTAACAGTGGTAGAGTGAAATCCCTGAACTAGGAAGATAAGAGACGGATCCTACGGGGCAAAAGAGGAGCTTTGATAGGACCTATGGGAAAAGGTTTGTGGACTAATATGGCAGATTCAGATCAACATTCCCGGTACAAGGGTGAGGGGGTGAGGGTGAGAAAGCCGGTGTGAGGTATTGAGAGTTCTCATGAAATCCGCTCAAAAGGGCAAACCATACCACATTTCAAAAAGCAAGTAAGAAATTGCGATATTAAAGGGGTGATACGAGGATATAGGATAGGTGAGTACCCCAGGACAGGAGAGATACCAAAACTGTTTAGCAGACACGGATTATTGATAATGTTGACGAAAAATCTGGGAACATACTAAGTCCATGGTCCAATTGGAAATTATAATGCATACTATGGTCTCCAGACAACATGTGTCCCTTTAGGTCTTTTGGCAATATGGCCAAGTTGTGAATACAAGGTCAAAAAACTACTATACGACGAAAGGAGACATCGACCATAAAAATATCACACCATCTTGATCTTTATACCTATATTTATTTTGTTTAGAATGTTAGCAATTTACTTTTGGCATGTATTTTTCACTCCTTAACTTAACAAACTATCATATAAATACTTAATCTTTAACACCTTTGTGAATTATTTACCTAGTTTGATTTTAGTATATTAAATTGTATTTTAATTTATTCTCAATCAGGCTAAATTATTATATCTAAAATTATTAAGAAAACAGTGGCTCACCGACAATCCAAAATTTGTGCGCAAGCAACCTCTTCGGGTAGAAAGCTGACTACTTGGTCAACTCGGAAAGCAATAAGCCGGAGAACGATTCCACTATTATTCCACTCATTTTCATTATCAGACCCTTTATCAACGCCAGCCAAATCATTTTCACTGTGATGATCAAAATAATTGGGATAGCGACTATTATTTTCATCATCACCATAATTATCATTATTCAAAACCGTAGCCGCTCCTATGTGCAGGAGAATACGATGGATTCCTGGGCTCTGCACTGATTTTGTAGGAACATGACCCCTTTCAGGGTTGGTATTACTGTTAGTGTCGATAGCTTCTATAGGATCACCAAAATGCTCATGATGACGCAATCTTGTAGTATGATATGCAGAACTTGTTTGTTTTGAGACGTAGGCTAGGCGAACGACACTTAAAAGCCTTGGCTGAGCAAACAAAACTGGCTGAGCAAGCTTGGGCTTCGTAATTATTTCACGATCTGATTGATATATTTGGCTATAGTCGGCCAGATGCTTTGATATTGTTTTATGTCGTTTTACTCTTATCCAATCTGTTTCTTCGCTCACAACCGCCTCTTCCTCTTCGTTTGAATATTTCTGGGAATCTGACATTTTCAGTCTTTCTTGCAACTTCGAGCCTAAGTCATCGTAATCAAGCTCCGCTCCACTCCGCCAGTCAGACGAGAAAATAGATTCCTGTTCATGAACCTGACTTTGAGGCATCTTAACATTTAAGTATGGATCTTGATCATAAGCCAACGATGAGCCGATAACCTGGCGCAAAGCGACCCCAGAAGACAGTGAAATTACAAAGCCACCATCTGAATAAAAAATACAGATTAGAAAGGAGACAATGGTTAAATATAATGTTCACATTAAAAAAATTAAAAACAGGAGCCTTCATATCATCTGTAAAAAGTACCTATTTGTTTTTGAGTGCTGAATAATCGGAAGGAATGGAATGGATAAAGATCAAATATGGGGAAGTAGAAATGCATACAATTACTATACTATGAAGAAGTTTGAGTTTACGGGCTTAACAAACATTCCGAGTTAAACGTTATCTAAGAAAGTTCACTTCACTGGGACTCTAAGCATTAAGACTAGCAAATCAAGAATACTTCGCAATATAACTTTAGGATATATAGAAACTCGATAGATTAAATATATTTTATCAGATTCAGTCAAATTCCATCGTGATTCCTCTCATTAGACCTCTTGCTGATGAGCCGTAAAATTTAGATGGATTCGTTTTGTTTACGTGGCCAGATAGACTCCATTCTTGCATCATTAAATGTAGACGTTAGGTGGTCGCAAACCAAATCATCGCACATGAGCCTCAGAATAATGAATATTTGAGTAGTGCTCAAAGTTTGGGTCTAAAAATTTTTCCAGAAATATTATAGCTACATCGAATATTAGCAAGAATTTACGAACACTTATTGTCAGCCCAAACTACCAACCCCGAAATTAAACAGCTAAATGAGATAGCTACGATTTAACAAAGATGAAATATGAAATAAGAGAGACGATAAAAAATATTCTCGGAGTTGAAAAAAATGAGAACTCGCATCCTCTATATTTAAAAAAATCTTTAAGTCTTTTAGGCTGCATTAAACCAGTATAGCTAGATTCCCTAACAAAAGAAAGTATAAAATTGCCAGAAACCAAATGATTAATTATAAAATATGGATAGAAGCAATTTAGTCTTGTTGTCAAGGCGACTTAGTTGAAGGCAACTTGTCCGAAGTCCTCTGGCATAGAAGTTATCATAATTACCAGCATCAGACCAACGTTTTGCCGGAAAACGGTTACACTATCACTCCTCCTGTCCTGGCCCATCTATCCCCTCTTTACCTCTTTACTGACTTAGTACATTCTCAGACGTTTCGCTGGCAGCGTAGTCGGCATCATTAGTGAATGTTACGATTCTACGCACCAAGTTATATACTTGTCAAAGAAACAAGTGAAGTCAATCCCTCGAACAACGTTTTGCCGGAAAACGGTTACACTATCACTCCTCCTTCTGTCCTGGCCCATCTATCCCCTCTTTACCTCTTTACTGACTGATTTAAAGCAACCGTTGAAATAAGCTGGCTATCTCGGAATTGTGCGAGTCTGCGATGAGAACATTTAATGCGTGATAAACCATAGAAATGGGCATATTTCTGTCCAAATGTGCACGCAAACCATGGACGAAGTACATTCTCAGAAGTTTCGCCGGCATCGTAGTCGGCATCATTAGTGAATGTGACGATTCTACGCACCAAGTTACATACTTGTC